CTGCTTCTCCCTCTCCCACTCCCCCTGCTTGTGTTCCCTCTCTCGCTGTGTCTCTCTCTGTCAAATAAATAAATAAAATCTTTAAAACAAAAAAACACGGCGTCAATAACTATACTTCAAGAAAAAATAAAAATAAAAAAATAGACCATTCTCTGTTCTAAGATAATGGTTATATGTGGAAATCTCTTTTTTAAAAAAAGATTTTATTTATTTATTTGAGAGAGAGAGAGAGCATGAGTGGTATGAGGGGCAGAGGGAGAAGGAGACCTCCCGCTGAGCAGGGAGCCAGACGCGGGGCGGGTCTCGATCCCGCGATTGCAGGGCCCTGGGATCCTGTGACCTGAGCTGAAGTCAGATGCTCAACCAACTGAGCAACCCAGGCGCCCCGCATATGTGGAAATTTCTAATTAAAAACTATCATAAAGGGGTGCCAGGGTGGCTCAGTCAGTTGAGCATCTGATTCTTGATCCCAGCTCAGGTCTTGATCTCAGGGTCGTGAGTTCAAGCCCTGTGCTGGGCTCCACACTGGGCATGGAGCCTACTTAAAAAAACAAAACAAAACAAAAAAACTATCATAGGCACGAATGCTCATAAGCCTACCCAGTACAGGAAACAGGGGTGGGAGTGAAGGGATCTTAAAGCCATTCAGCTCATCAAAAATCCATGATCTAAAAATATTTGAAAGTCTGAAGGTCAGTGGGAGCCCAATAAAAACACAAAGCATTTCTCAATACAAAAGTCACTGAAACATCCCCTATTCCAAAACAGAGTTTGTCTAACACCTGTGAGCTTCCAGGTATTATTTGGTAAAAGAATCCTGAAGTTACTAAAGATCAGATAAAACACAGTCAGGAGAGATCAAATTCTGAGGGAAAAGAAAGGACAGCTCCTAGAAAAGTAAATAAAGCAAGAATTGTAGGATTTTCATTCATCTCCTCAATCCTGGGAGTTGTCCACTTATGCCCAAAGGCGCCATCTGGTTTCATCTGAGTGAACAGATATACTTAACTGAAACAGCAGAAATCAAGACCTTCAGGTGACGCCAGCAATAATCACGCTGCCATTTGAAAACTCACTACGTGTCAGGCCTGATACAGAACCTCACTGAACCCTCACCATCACCTTACAGATTTGATTTTTCGGCCCCCACCGGCCCCCAGAATTACCTATAGAGATTTGTAAAAATCGGGGCGCCTGGGTGGCTCAGTCGTTAGGCGTCTGCCTTCGGCTCAGGTCATGATCCCCCAGGGTCCTGGGATCGAACCCCGCATCAGGCTCCCTGCTCAGCGGGAAGCCTGCTTCTCCCTCTCTCACTCCCTGTTTGTGTTCCCTCTCTCGCTGTGTCTCTCTCTAATAAAAAATAAAAATAGATGCTTACGCCTCACCTCAGATCTACTGACTCAATCTCCCAGCTTGAAACCTGAACATGCACATTTTGAAAACCATCCCCACTAGCTTAAGAAACTAGTGCTTAAAACCACCTTGCTGCTTCTAACTCCTGTTTCCTCTCCTCAGTCTTGGGATAACACCTTCATGGGTCAGAGAGAATGTCAAGGTTGGGTGAACTATTAACAGCCCCCTTAAGCTCACCTTTACTCAACATGAGAAACCAAGGGGGCAGCTAGGTTAGGGGAGGCCCTTGCCACACTCTGCAGTCTTTGGGATCCAGCTCTGACTATAGCCAATGCCCTGGCCAACAGTATAGGAGTGTGGGGCCACCTTTAGTCTGGGCCTTGTGCCTCCCTCTGCAAGTCCCAGGTCCGAGCCAGATAAACAGAATCAAGCAGATGAAAACAACCTTGAACAGTTCCCATGTGTTCTTTGTTCTATGAATTAAGCGTGTGGGGCCACTCCCTGGCCCCTAAATCTAACCATCTTAAAAGCAGAGGCCATGCCTCCTCCCCCATCACCCTGTAGGTGGAGTCTCAAGTTCCATTCTTGTCTGAGGCCCTACCAGTCATCTTGTGATGCTACCAGTCATCCCGTGAGCCCCTGAGGAAGAGTGGTGCTTGCCCACTCTACCTCACAGTTTCTTGCTCCCTACCAACCTCTTCCCCTCCTTAGTTTCTTCAGTTAGCATATTGGAGTGGGTGAAGTCTATTTAGGATCATGAACAAAGGTCCTTCAATTTTCTCCTGAACATCAAAAAGACCTAGGACCCCAAACCTGATTTCATTAGTCCATGCCACCAATGTTTGCCTCACACTTAAATGCAAAACACTCTTAAGTGGTTGATGGGATAAAGTTAAAAACCAGCTCTATTCTCAAAGGCCTAGTTGAATAGGGGTGAAGGAAAAGTTTTTTTTTGTTTTTTTTTTCTAATTTTTTTATTTATTTATTTGAGAGAGAGAGAGAGAGAAACAGCATGAGAGGGGAGAGGGTCAGAGGGAGAAGCAGGCTCCCCGCTGAGCCGGGAGCCCGATGTGGGACTCGATCCCAGGACTCCGGGATCAGGACCTGAGCCGAAGGCAGTCGCTTAACCAACTGAGCCACCCAGGCGCCCCCGAAGGAAAAGTTTTAATACAAAAATAGCTCCCACTATGAACAGAGTATAAATGCCATAAGACCTACAACAGGGGACAAGCTCAGGAAAACTCCATGGATTAGGTAGCACTTGATGTAGACCTTGACAACAGATAGGTAGGATTTCAGCAGGTATGGAAGTAGGAAGAGAACATTCTAAACAGAGAATAATGTAAACATCAGGCGTGGAAGTGGGAATGTTCTGGGGTATGGTCAAAGAAGAGTTAAGAACTCAACGTGACTGAGGGACAGCCAACATGTCCTTCTGTCATGGTGACACATTAGGCTGTAAAGGCCAGCCCAAGGAGCTTGACGCTTACAAGCAGAGGGATGACAGGATCGGAGCTGGGCTCCAAGAATCGCAGGTGGGATGAACCGAAGTAAAGATGTCCCGTGGGAAGGCCAGGTGAGAGGCTGCCGTCATAACCCTCCTCACAAGCAGTAAGGCCCTGCCCTAGGACGGTGGCTGTGAGAACAGGGGCGAGGGGCCAGTGGCGAGGAACTACCGCCAAGACAGATGCTATCGACTCTTCGATCCCGTTCCCTCCGATTTCTCCATGCAGAGGTGGCCACAGACGGGGCAGTTTCCATAACACAGATGTCCAAAACACTTACTTACACTCACTGTGACCAGTGAGCAGGAGGTACGGCCGCTGTCAGGGGCCCCTGTCCCCCTCCCAGCCTCTGCTGGCCTCGCCCCCAGGCAGCTTGCTGCGGGCCCTGCGCCGCGGGGAGGGGCCTCCGCCGCACTGAGCGGCCCATGCGCAGTACGGTCACCTGAAGCCACCAATCAGTCTGAACTCGGCTGTGCTTTAGGCTCCTCTCCGTTCTGAGCTACGAGGATACTCTCCTTCTGCAGTCATCTTCCCATTCTCTCTGCTGCTCCATAACGGCCATGGTTACTTGGATTTATGACCTTAGCTCAGTTTTTCCTGCCGCCCAGCTCTGATAGCTCTCCTCCTTTAAGCCCTAGACTCCCCTTCTGTGTGGACTGAAGGGTCCCTCCCAAAATTCCTGTGTTGAAGTCTTAACCCTCAAGGTGACTATATTTGGAGATTGGGCTTTACAAAGAGATAATGAAGGTTAAATAAGGTCACAGGGAGGGGAAGTAATCCAGGAATCCTTGTAAGATATGAAGAGACACCAGGAGTGCGTGCACCCAGAGAAAGGCCATGTGAGCACACAGCAAGAAGGTGGCCATCTGCAAGCCAAGGAGAGAGGCCTCAGAAGAAACCAACCCTGCCGGCATCTTAATCTTGGACTTCCAGCCTCTAGAACTGGGAAGAAATAAATTGCTGCTGCTTAGTCCCACACACATTCCACCGCCCAGTCTGTGGTATTCTGATTATAGCAGCGGGGAGACGAATGCACCTTCCACTCGGACTGGCTGTTGCCAAGGGAAGGCGTCAGACAAAACCAAGCTCATGCCTTGGTGACTAACAGAAAAGTGATACCATTAAAAGATGATGTCATCATGACAAACGTGACGGCAAAGTTTGAGATGGGCTTAAATCAGAGGACTTGCAGAACATCCTGCAGGTAGATGGGATTGTGGGCCTGGAGCTCAGGGACAAGGGACTGGGGGAGGCACCCGAGTAGGAACGTGGAGGGACGAGGGCCCAGGATAAGGCCTGGGGTAATCCTATATCCAGGCAACCAGAAGAGGAGGCAGAGAAGGAATAATCAGAAGGCCAAGATTTTACAGCATAGTCAAAACTAAAAGAAGCATTTCAAGATTGTAATTAACAATGCAAAATGACGTTAAGAGGTAAAGCGAATGAAAACCGAACATGTCACTAAGCTTAGAACATGGGAGTCGAGGACGGAGAAGGGCCTGAGAAGATAGTGAATGGGAACAGAGGCAATGAATATAGACACATCTCGAAACAGATGACGGAGAGAACTGGGATAGCAGCTTGAGGGGAAAGCAGGGCTGATGGTTTTATTCTGACTGTGAAGAAAATGAGCAGCATGTTGGCGTATCAAGGGAGGATATGGGGAGCACAGGAAATGGATTTCACCTCGATGGGATGGAATATTTCCACTGGGGCAGAAGTTAAATAAAAAATGAGAAAAAGAGGAAAAGGAGGTCACTTACCTCAGCTCCAATCTCTCCTGCAGAGTAAGACAAATCGGGAACTCTGAGGCTATGCACCAAAATGTCAGTTTGAGGTGGGCTCAAACTGACAAATCGCTGGGGCTGGTCAGGAGAGGCCTGTGGAGTTCCTGCTGTGTGGCACCAAGACAGCTGCTGGGAGGGGACAGGAACCCGGAACGCCGGATCTGCCAATTTCTCAAGAGAATCTGGAAACCCAGATTTATGCAAGATGTCCCCACTGTAAAAAGCTGACAGCTCTTTCAAATATTTAAGAAACTCTGTGTAAACTCAACAGAATTGAGCCCCTGGGCTGGCAGTTTATAACCACTGGCCAAAAAGGACTTCCAATAGCCACAGCATTGTTTCACTACAATGAGTCAACAAATTGAATACAATTTTCTAAGAAACAACTTAGGTTAATTTTTCTTTTCCCATTAGATAGATAGGCCGATCTCATTAACTGATAGCAGACCAGTCAGGATGGCTTCTTGTGGCTTTTTCTCATCACAGTGTCCATCAAGATTAGAAGGAGAAAGTGGTAACTTTTATCCTAAGTCGAGGTTTGACATGTTTAAAAAACAGAAGGCTCGGAGCTGAGGATTGCTGTACTTACAATGAGCGCAGAGCTGGAATGTTAGACCAACGTGAGTTGGCGGGTAAGAGGAGCCCGAGGGTAGGGCTGGAGAGATGAAGAGTGTCAGGCACTGACTGAGCAGGATGAATGGGGAGAAGGAGGAAGGGGCGGAAGGAGTTGTTTCAAAAATTAAGGGGTCGACACAGGAAAAGTCATCTTAAAAGATCTGTAGAACAGAGTAATTTCTAGTCAAGAAAAGTCTGAAAGAAATGTCTACGTATGTAGCTAATGTGAAGTGGAATTGGTATCTTTATTTCCTTCTTCCCACATCATTCAAGTCTGGGTAAAGGACATCAGTAAGAACAAGAGTTTTAGGGATAACCCAGTTTTTAACCCCAGCGTCACCACTTTCTAGCTGTGAGAACATGGGTGACGTCGTTAATTTTGAGCTGAAGACAGAAATACCTCTGGAATAGGAAATGCATATGGACACAGTGAAGGGGACCTACGTTAGACCATGTAAAGCATCTAAGCACAGTATCTGGGGCACAGAAGGCGAGCCACGCACATCGTCCTCCCTGTCCGGTGGGAGCCCCGATGCCACGCGAACCCCTTTTCTGTGAGAACACTCCGGCAGCGTTCCGGGCTTTCTCTCTGAAGCAGACAAGAAGGGATGGGCCGGGGATAAGCGGGCACCTTGATCATCAGGCCCGTGATTCTGCATCTACTGCTGCAGGGCAGCCCAAAGCTGAGGGTTCGTCGTCAGAAAGACAGTCCTGAAGATTTTGTTCCTCATGAAATAAAACTCACGTAACGAACTCCGATTTCTCGGACCCCAGAAGTAGCATGTAAGTCTGAAAGCCAGGGAATTACAAAAATAGAACCAAATACCACATATCAAGGAAGTGTAAGTTTCCAGGGAGCTTTTACCAAACTTACAGACTAAGTGGGCCAGGGGCTGCCACCGCCGGAAGCAGACGAGCTCTAACAGGTGTGCGCGCAAGGTAAGCAGGGCCGGCACCAAGGAACAGACAAGGGTGGAGATGAATGAGGGAAGCATGACCTTCTATACGGAAAGCTGCTCCAGGTACGGACCATGGTAGCCAGGGAGGAACAAGTGAACAGGCTCACCTACCAGGCAGCATCCATCGCTGAATTTCCAAAAGATTAAAGAAAGGGTATAGGAGAAACTGCGTTCTGTTTGGAGGCAGAGAAACAGAAGAGTGCTATCACCCACGACAGATAGCCAGGTGCAATGACTTCATCAGGAAAGAAGGGGCCCCGGGGACTGTCTTCTGTCTAGGATGCAGCAGGATTATTCTTCAAACACGGTCCCCTACAAGCGCTAGTCACGATGGACCCGGCACTATCTTACCTAATACTCGGGAACCAAAGGTGCAGTAAGTACCAGACCACAAAGAAAACATTTAGTCGCTCTTCAAAAGGCACTTATGTAACCAACACCTGAGCCATGAAAAACTACACAGCAATAACTTAGCAAGACAGCAGGTGAATAATGTTTAACCCTGGTAATTGTGACTGTGGACGGCTATTTGTGTAACTAGGATGTACCATAAAGAAATTATTTCTGTTTCATCAAGGCTTGAGGGGAAGAGAAGGTGGGAGCCCAGGGTAACATTCAACCTGAATGGCATTCACTTTGCACCGAACTCCTTGCTGGTCTATAAAACCTCTGGAACTTCAGCAAGGAGAAGGAAACATTCCCAGGAAGCCTGGCCAGGCGTATTGGCACGTCGCGCCCTCACGGAGAATGTTCCTTCACCACTGGTGTGCGTCTGTGTAATGAGTGAGACAGACAGAACACCAGACTTCTGTCAGAAAAACACCACTGGTGGAGACCATGCGATATTAAGTCAGCACGTGGACAGGCCAAGCATCGCCGACAGCCATCGGCCCTGACCAGGCCTCCGCCTTCCTTCAAGGCCGGCCTCAGAGCCTCAGACACGCAATTTCTTCCAACAGCATCAGAGGAACTCTATCATGTCCCAGCTGGTATTGCCAGATGTCTCCAGCAAGGAGGAGGTAAAGGCAATTCAATTTCATCTTTCTTCAGAAACGTTTCACCTAGAGCAGATCCTATGTCTTTGCTACAGATAATACACTTAAGGCCACCTGGATTCCTCATTGGAAAAGCAAGACCTGTGGAAATTCAAACACTCAAGTGTATTCATTTTAAAGAATTAGTGTCAAAAACAGAAGGATAAGCGGGACCCTAAGATATGTATTTACTAACTTTACTTTCCCATTGTCACAGTTACCATTTGGTCTTAACCAGCAAGGGATTTCACATGTGGGAAATTAATGAAGTGCATTCCACCGAGCATTATGTGGAAAAGAGTGACCCCAGGCCCAGTGAGTAATTCTTATTTCTCATTTATGATAATAAGGAATGAATCTGCTTATCTCAAAGTTCATTTGGCCCGCTGGTGCTCAATACTACCCCCAGCCCCCAGGCACCATGAATGATACTTTGTCCTATAGGGCAGGACTCTGAGCTGGAGGTCAAGGTCTTTCACACTTGACTTGCTTACCTGAGAGTTCTGCAAGCTGGGAGAAGGATGGAGTCAATATTGTGCGGGAACAAAGACGCCCTCAGAGAGGATACCTCTGCTGCTGGTAAAGCTGATAAAACCTGAATATAGCCAAACCATTCTGAGGGTTGGCTGGAACAGGGGCTATCCCTTCAAACTGGCATCTTGTTCTACAAGATCTTTTGACCTTGCATTTCTATCCCCTCATTGTTTTTGTGTGTTCCAGAGTCCTCCTGCCCCCAGGCTCTCCCACTCACTGCCTTAGATCTTGCCATCATCATGTCAGGTTCTAAAAGAATCACTCAAGGGGCACTTGGGTAGCTCAGTCAGTTAAGCATGTGATTCTTGATTTCGGCTCAAGTCATGATCTCAGGGTTGTGGGACTGAACCCCGTGTCAGGCTCCACGCTGAGCATGGAGCCTGCTTAAGATTTTGTCTCTCCTTCTGCCCCTCCCCTGCTCGCTTGCTCTCTCTCTAAAAAAAAATAATAATAAAAATAAATAAAAACAAAAGAATCATTCAAGAAGCAGAATCCAGACTCCTTGCTCAGGCTGTGAGGCTCAGCATAATCCAGCCCTACCTCATTCCTCTAGGCTCCTCAGCAGATACCCAACTGGCCTACGCGTGGTCACCCACACCCAGCCTGCCCTTTGCTCATGCCACCTTCTCTGCCTGGAGTACCTTCCCCTCTCTGATTACTTATTCATAGTAGCTCCTAAGTAAACATTCTTCCAAGTGAATGAATTTAAAACCTACCCATTTTCAAGGCTCAGTTCAAATTTTAAGGTAAACACAAATCCTTTCCTGACCACCACAGTTTGCAGGCATCACTCCATTGTCTGAATTTCAAGTGTCATTTATATAATCTACAAGTTATATTTAGTTCCTACATGGGGCAGACAGATCCCAAGGCCCTAACCGGATTAGACACTGCCCTGCGCTCGCAGAGCACAGTAGAGCATCGGGGAAAGTTATAATTACCCAACAATGGCATACGTGTTGGAATATTTATTTATTTTATTTTTATTTTTTTAAAGATTTTATTTATTTATTCATGAGAGACAGAGAGACAGAGAGAGAGAGAGGCAGAGGAAGAAGCAGGCTCCCAAGGAGCAGGGAGCCCGATGCGGGACTCGATCCCAGGACCCTGAGATCATGACCTGAGCCGAAGGCAGACGCTTAACCATCTGAGCCACCCAGGCGCCCAGGTGTTGGAATATTTAAAAGAAAATGTCTTGCTATTGTTAAACATATTTATTGAGCTTCTACTAAGCGCCAAGCACCAGCCTAGGTACCTTTCAGGAGTTCACATTTAATCTTAATGATCTATTCCACAAGTGGAAAAAAAAAAAAAAAAGATTCTGAAAAGTTAAGTTGGTTTCCCATGGCTATTTGGATAAGCCACCGAGCCTGGATTCAAACCCACTTGAGTCTAGGCTCTTTTCACCATCTCCCCAGCCTCCCAACCGTGAGGCGTATGCTGTGTGAGGGGCACAAGTAGTTAGACTGGAAGGAGGAAGGCAGCCCAGGAAAAAGGAAGAGCACAGGTGTGTTCAGGAATGGTGAATGGTTCTGAAAGCCCGGAGAAGAGGTATATGTGGAAAGGGAGAAGCCGTTCAGGTGAGACTGGCAAGTACCTTAGGCTCAGTCCTACAGATCACAGGAGAGCTCCAGTGTTTATGTCACATGAGGCTTAGAGCCTCAGAAGCTGGAGGCCACCTCAGACCAAGAGCAAACCCTGCAGGGCTGCCACCAAGTTGCCTAGCGGCTATCCTTCCTATTTATCAAAACTCCTTGCCACTGCCTGGGCCCCTTCCTTCCCTGGGGTCATGCCCATTGCAAAGCTGTCTGAAGATCATCAGACAAGGACGCCTGGGTGGCTCAGATGGTTAAGCGTCTGCCTTCGGTTCGCGTCATGAACTCCAGGTCCTGGGATGAGTCCCAGGTCAGGCTCCCTGCTCAGGGGGTGTCTGCTTCTCCCTCTCCCTCTCCCTCTACCCCTGCCCCTGCCTCTCCCTCTGCCCCTGCCCCTGCCTCCGCCCCTGCTTGTGCTCTCTCTGTCTCTCTCAAATGAATAAAATCTTAAAAAAAAAAAAAAAAAAGATCATCATAACAGTAGCACCGACAGTGTGCGAGGCCCTCCGTGCCTTCTCCCACCTAGTCCTCCGGACACTACAATGAGGTGCTATTGTGCTCGTCTGATGGAGGAGGACACAGAGTCTCAGAGAAGAAGAATGTGTCTGCTTGCAGTGCAGCTTCCCAGTGTCAATGTCCATGCTCTTCATCACTTAGCAACGAGATTAAGAAATCGTGAAGCAGTCCCTCACAAAATGCCAAGGACAGGAGTTGCCGAGATCCTGAAGAAACATGTCTAGTTGAACTTGCTACTCTCATCAAACGCCTATGCAACAAATATGAAAATCATTTAACCAAGATGTGACCAGAGATGTGCATCCCTACATGATCCAACCCAGGACCTCAGATGATCTGAGAATAT